CTACCCAAAGCTATCTACACATTCAATGCAATCCCAATCAAAATTGCACCAGCATTCTTCTCGAAACTAGAACAAGCAATCCTAAAATTCATATGGAACCACAAAAGGCCCCGAATAGCCAAAGTAATTTTGAAGAAGAAGACCAAAGCAGGAGGCATCACAATCCCAGACTTTAGCCTCTACTACAAAGCTGTCATCATCAAGACAGCATGGTATTGGCACAAAAACAGACACATAGACCAATGGAATAGAATAGAAACCCCAGAACTAGACCCACAAACGTATGGCCAACTCATCTTTGACAAAGCAGGAAAGAACATCCAATGGAAAAAAGACAGTCTCTTTAACAAATGGTGCTGGGAGAACTGGACAGCAACATGCAGAAGGTTGAAACTAGACCACTTTCTCACACCATTCACAAAAATAAACTCAAAATGGATCAAGGACCTGAATGTGAGACAGGAAACCATCAAAACCTTAGAGGAGAAAGCAGGAAAAGACCTCTCTGACCTCAGCCGTAGCAATCTCTTACTCGACACATCCCCAAAGGCAAGGGAATTAAAAGCAAAAGTGAATTACTGGGACCTTATGAAGATAAAAAGCTTCTGCACAGCAAAGGAAACAACCAACAAAACTAAAAGGCAACCAACGGAATGGGAAAAGATATTTGCAAATGACATATCGGACAAAGGGCTAGTCTCCAAAATCTATAAAGAGCTCACCAAACTCCACACCCGAAAAGCAAATAACCCAGTGAAGAAATGGGCAGAAAACATGAATAGACACTTCTCTAAAGAAGACATCCGGATGGCCAACAGGCACATGAAAAGATGTTCAGCGTCGCTCCTTATCAGGGAAATACAAATCAAAACCACACTCAGGTATCACCTCACGCCAGTCAGAGTGGCCAAAATGAACAAATCAGGAGACTATAGATGCTGGAGAGGATGTGGAGAAACGGGAACCCTCTTGCACTGTTGGTGGGAATGCAAACTGGTGCAGCCGCTCTGGAAAGCAGTGTGGAGGTTCCTCAGAAAATTAAAAATAGACCTACCCTATGACCCAGCAATAGCACTGCTAGGAATTTATCCAAGGGACACAGGAGTACTGATGCATAGGGGCACTTGTACCCCAATGTTCATAGCAGCACTCTCAACAATAGCCAAATTATGGAAAGAGCCTAAATGTCCATCAACTGATGAATGGATAAAGAAATTGTGGTTTATATACACTATTATATACACTATGGAATACTATGTGGCAATGAGAAAAAATGAATTATGGCCTTTTGTAGCAACGTGGATGGAACTGGAGAGTGTGATGCTAAGTGAAATAAGCCATACAGAGAAAGACAGATACCATATGGTTTCACTCTTATGTGGATCCTGAGAAACTTAACAGGAACCCATGGGGGAGGGGAAGGAAAAAAAAAAAAAAGAGGTTAGAGTGGGAGAGAGCCAAAGCATAAGAGACTGTTGAGAACTGAGAGCAAACTGAGGGTTGATGGGGGGTGGGAGGGAGGAGAGGGTGGGGGATGGGTATTGAGGAGGGCACCTTTTGGGATGAGCACTGGGTGTTGTATGGAAACCAATTTGACAATAAATTTCATATAAAAAAAAAAAAAAAGAAATGACTATATATTGTTGTGAGCTGATGTGGAAAGATATCTGCTGTATGTCAATAAGTGAAAAAAACTTACCAGAAGCATTACTCACAATAGCTAAGATATGGAAACAACCCAAGCCTCCATCAATGGATGAATGGATAAAGAAAATGCTATACATACACATACACACAAATACATGCATGTATATATGTAATGGAATATTATTCAGCCACGTCAAAAGAAATCCTACTATTTGTGACAACATGGATGAAGCTGAAGGATATTATGCTGAGTGAAATAAGCCACACAGAGAAAGACACATACTATAAGGTCTCACTTGTATGTGAAGAAAAAGCAAAACAACAAACAAACAAAGAAATCCCACAAACTCATGAAAACAGAGTAGGATGGTAGTTACCAGAAGCTAGGGAAATATTGGTCAAAGGGTGCAAAGTTGGGATGAATAAGAGATCTAACATGTAGGTATGATGACCCTACTTAATAATACCGTATTGAACACTGGAAAGGCGCTAAGAGAGTAAATTTGAAATGTACTCATCACGCACACAAAAATGATAACTATGTGAAGGTATGATATGTTAATTAGCTTGACTGTAGTAATCATTTTAGTATGTATATGTATATCATATTATGTACACCTCCAATATATACAATATATTAAAAAGTATTTTTGAAACGTAAAAAAAAAAAAAAAAAAAAAAGAGTAGCAGAGAGGCCAAGAGAGGTGTTATCAGAGGAAGCACTGCAGAAGCAGGCCAGTTCCCTCAAAGAGGAGCAGAGGATGCCAATGCAGCACAGACTATATGCCTGAGAGCCCCACGGAAAGGAAGAAATAATCACACACAGTTGCAAGAAATTAAACAAATGGTCCTGCATCCTGCCTCTGACTTCCATCATCTTGCAACAGTTTTAACCGGGGTCTGAGGACGATAGCAGCCTATGAATAAACCTCCATTTATTACACATTTCCAGCGTTGTTTTTTTTTTAGGATGGGAACAGATGTCATAAGCTGTCATCACAGCAATCATAATGGCGATGACGATGATGAAGACTGTGCTGATATTAACAATAACTACGATGACTCCTACTTATTGATGCATACCTAAGGACCACTATGCATGTGGCCAGGCCCCAACAACATCAAGGCCCAACATTGTAGGAATTCTACAGGTTTCTCTTGAGATAATCCAAACCAGTCTTCATTTGGTCTAAACGCTAAAAACTCTGAGGGAGAAGGTAGCTTTAAATGTGACTTGGGGTCCTTTTACACAGTTCTCAAACTTCCTCTCAAAACTGTTCTGGTCCGTTAGATCTTGTTCATACTCAACTATTAAAAATACAACTTTACAATGTTTACTTCAAAATTAAAGCTTGGGGGTGGGGGGTGGGGCGCCTGGGTGACTCAGTCAGTTAAGCGTCCGACTTCAGCTCAGGTCATGATTTCATGGTTCGTGGGTTCGAGCCCCATGTCGGGCTCTGTGCTGACAGCTCAGAGCCTGGACCCTGCTTTGGATTCTGTGCCTCCCTCTCTCTCTGCTCCTCCCCCACTCACTCACGCTCTCTTTCTCAAAAATAAATAAACATCAAAATTAAAGCTTGGTTAAAATAAACAACTTGGCTCGCATTCTTCTGGCTTAGTTTTTCTATACCTAAATTTCATCCCTAGAAGGTCAAGAGATTACTTTGCTTATTTCACTAAATCTAGTTCTAGGGAGAAAAGAAAACAAATAATTATAAGCTATATCTGGTGTCTAGATTTGAAAGGTTGAGCCTCAACGTAAGTACACAGCATGATGAGAAAATGTTATGAAAGTGGATTTTCAGGAGTTTATAAAGAATATACGCTTATGGATTTAATTCCACACACACCCTTATTTATTAACATATGAGGACCTTTTACCTCCATCCGATTCAAGTCACGGGGTTGTTGGTTTGCAGGCATTGACTCAGAATAAGAATCAAATAATGCACACTCCCGCTTGGGCTTAGGAAAAGCTAAGAAAAAACAAAAAGAATACGTAAGAACATATACTATATTCATAGCAGGCATTGTTTCTTATCAGCTTTTCCGTGCCTGTTAAATATTACAATAAATCAGCCAGCACTGACATACTAGTTATGGCACTAATCACGAGGAGGTAGTATTTTATGTTCCTTACATATACAACATACTATTTCTGCCTCCCCATTTTACATGTGATGCATCTGAGGAGCAGGGAAGCTAAGCAACTTACTCAAGGTCATATAGCTGGTAAATGGAAGAGCAGGAACTTGAACTGCTGGCAGTCCTGCTGGAAGGTACATGCTTTTAGCATTTACGTTGTAACATAGTAGTGACCCTCGCTATCACAATACTGAAGTTTTAACTATGCTACCAGCACAATTTTTAAATGGCACCAACTATGGGGAGAGTCTTAATGCTACAAACATTAACTATGGAAATACTTCATTTTAGCTATTGTTGTTGGAAATAGACAAGATCTTGCAATGACAGGTGCCCCAGAAGACTTTCTAAAATATCCATTTCTTTTGTTTAGCAGAATAACAAAAATAAGAGCACAAGTTCTTGCTGAGTTACAAGGGAAGAAGAATCACATTATGGGCTTCTTCGAACACAGAACAGTGACAGAGGCTGTTAGGTTAGCTGGAGAGCTGAGTGGATCGTGCTACTTGGTAAACTGATACTTAACACACCAATTCTGGGAAGCAGATTCTGTTTCACCACTTTGTCACCAAGTAATTAGGAAGGAAATGTCTCAACCAGAAAATTGGTCAATATCCCAAGGAGGAAAAGAAGATCATGGCAGACAATGGCCAGAAGCTACAAATTTGTCAAGACCAGCTGTTAAGAAATCAAAATTTTAATGCTGTGTTTAAAAAATTTTTTGAATCAAACATCAAAATGTATTGACATTGTTTTTAATCCTTTCTCACCCTCCCACCTCCACCAGCGTCTGAAATGCCAACTTCCCTCTGTAGTAAAGTACTGGCCATGACTAACAGCTACTCAACTTGTACAGTTGAGTACAAGCACCTTAAATTGTTCATTTTCTTACTCTGGTTTGAATTTCACTGATATCAGGTAGGGCAAACCGTGGGCCCTGGCGATTTGTCTGACTAAACTAGGGGGTCTCATTTCCTTGGTAAAAACTCAGCAAAACAACTTTCCAAGTACCATTCTGCTATCTGGCCACAAGAGCAGGTTTAACCAAGATGAGATTTCTGTTTCTAGCTTACCAATCAGTGATGTGTGTAGAATTACACAACTAAAGCTTTATCATGAGCGGGTCTTGCTACGTAAAAAGGTAACGCTTTCAAAAACTACAAATGCCATCATTAACTACTAAATCTCTTTCTAGCCTGTCCCTCTCTCTCCAACTCCACTTGTCACCTCCCTAGTGACAGGCCCTGGGGTCCTGACTGGACTGCTCCAGTAACCTGGTCTTTCAGTTTGCACCCTTGCTCCTCAAAACCTGCTCTCCAGTCAGCAACCAGCACGATCATTTCCAACAGCAAATCTGATTGGGGCACTTCCCTGATTAAAACCCATCAACGTCATTGCCAGTGATTTGTTCCCTACCTGCCCCTTCAGCCTCATCCTCAGCCCCTCCAGGCCCGGCTCCTTGCACTCCAGCCACTGTGGCCTCAAGTCTCCATGCCTCCGACGCCCCAAGCTGCCTCTCAGGGCCTCTGCAGTCCCCTCTGCCCACAGCCTACTACTCTTCCCCCTCCTTCACCTACACAGCCCTTAGCTCACCCTTCACATGTCAGCTCAAATATTTAAGGAAGCCTTCCCTGAGGTGACGCACCCTCTTGCTGCAGCTGAACTTCCCCTTCATAGCACCTACCACTGCCTCCAATTTACAAGTATGTGAGTTTGTTCAACATCGATCCTCTAACTGCCAGCAAGTTCCATGACAGTAGGAACACTCTTCTGAACGCAGCATTCTGACCACAAAGAATAACACAGTGCCTCTCACATAATTATTTTTAACAAACTCTATAGTAAAAATCTATACCAGAATCCACCCAGTCACCCAGACAGGAAAATATCAAAAGGCCCACGGGTAAGCTATCAAATAACCAACTTTTCCTTCCAACGGTGCCCTTTCATTTTCACTGTTAGGGAAAAACTCAGACACAACAGTTTGTTTTATTATTTTACTGAAAACAAGCTTGTGTAATTGTAAATGCATGATGGTATCAACCAAATTTATACTCTTCACCAACCTTGTTGAAAACTGGATTACATTTTTGTAAAAGACTGAATGTAGGCTAATCAGAAAAAAAGTTGGAACAGGAACTAAGCTTTAAAAAAAGCCAGGTGGGATGGGGCCCCTGGGTGGCTCAGTCGGTTGGGCGGCCAGCTACAGCTCAGGTCATGATCTTGCGGTCTGTGAGTTCGAGCCCCACGTCGAGCTCTGTGTTGACAGCTCAGAGCCTGGACTTTACTTCAGATTCTGTGTCTCCCTCTCTCTCTGCCCCTTCCCTGCTTGCTGTCTGTCTCTTTCTCTCTCTCTCTCTCTCTCTCTCTCTCAAAAATAATAAACATTAAAAAGAAACAGGTGGGATACCATAAAAATGAACCCCCAAAATGAACAGAATCCCTCATATTTTGCAAAGTCTAAAAGCACAGAGAACACCTAGACAGTTCTGGCCATTTTCTTGAGCTGTATATAAAGATAAGCATGAGTGATAAAGCATTAAAAAGTTAACTGCTAAAACCCTCAGGGTTTGCCTAAAATATACCATCACTGAGCCTGATGAGGCTTTAAGAGATCTCTCAGGTTTTTTGTTAGAACTATATAATTATTATTTATGATTAATCTCACAAGCCCTGGAAATGATGTGAAGTCTTTGTTTAATTAAAGGGTATGTCATGGGTTCCTCAGTTGTTGCTGTATAAATACGTGTTGACAGCCTCCACCAAAGACCAGGAACAAACAAGGGGCTTCATTCCAAAGGAAAGGAAGGTGCCTCTTGACTGGCACTCTATTTTACAGACTCCACCCCACCCCCCCCCCCTCCATAAGCAAGACAAAAGCAGTCATTTGCAGCAATAAAGGAATCAAAATGCTACTTGACTTCCATTAACACACTTTTTGCTCAGGGCTTTCAGATTTTTTTAATTTTTATTAGTGATTCCCACCAACAGGGCAGGAGGGTTCCCGTTTTTTTCACATCCTCACCAGCACCTGTTGTTTGCTGAGTTGTTAATTTTAGCCACTCAGGGGAGAGGGGAAAATGGGAGATGGGCATGGAGGAGGGCACTTGCTGGGATGAGCACTGGCTGTGGTATGTAAGCGATGAGTCACGGGAATCTACCCCTGAAACCAAGAGCACACTGTATACACTGTATGTTACCCAACTTGACAATTAATTAATTAATTAAAGGTGGGCCAAACAATAAAATAAAATAAAATAAAATAAAATAAAATAAAATAAAATAAAATAAAATAAAATAAAATAAAATAAAATAATTTTTGTACCTGGGGGGTAGGGGGGGCGAGGTAAAAAAATTTTTTTCATTAGTGACTTTTGAAACAGTCTGTGAAATACTTGGATATCTACAAAGTGACTTGTCAAACAAGGAGTCCCGACACCTGGCATAGGTTCCATGGCCAGAGGGCATCACAACAATACAACAGCATTAATCAAGACCCAAAAACAGAAAGCTAAGTGTGGGCATGGGAGATAAAGCTACCCAGGACTCTCCCCAGGGCTGACAATAGGCAACAGTGATGTATTAAATATAACTAAATAGCCCTGGAGCAGACCTTGACCCTCTGGTTAGCTGTTCACATTAGAGGGAGACAAAGTCCCATGTGGCCCTGCTCCCAGGAGAAGGGGCTCCTGGATGACCCTGTACTGACTTGGTTATGAAACCTGTGCAGTTGCCAAGATTGTTAGTGCTTCTTTGCCTCAATCCAAAAGAAACAAAGAGAAAAAGGAAAAGAGAGAGAGAGAGACGCCGAAGAGGAAATGGAGCAGTGTGTCACGGTGCCCAACTGCAAACTAGTTCCTGGGGACCCATGAGGGTCTCCCCCAGCCTGGAAGGAAGGGTATACGGCCTGCTGCGGTCAGAAAGCAGCTGCTATTAGCAAAGTCTAAGCTCTTAAATGAGTAGTAGTCTCTACTCTTTGAACGCTCCCGTGCATACATTTTATGAGGCATTTGGGAAAGATCCCAGAATAATGGATCACTCTTCCCCCACATGTTTACCTGCCATTGGCACCAGCCACATACTTGCTCTCTTCCCTTTGGTTGGGCCTTGGCCCCCTCACTACCAAATACAGAAAATGACAAACTTTTTATTTAAAAGTCAGAGAACCCAAGACTGACTTAGATTAGTCATTGGCCACTTTGAATATAGTGTTGTTATGAGGGGACAAGACATGATAATCTAGGGCCTTTACTAGATCTAACCACAAAATTTACACTCTATTAATGACTAATCACAGTTTCTTTAGAAATTGCTCCTTCCTGCCAATAATCATCCATGACTAGCTCTCATGTTTTTAAGAGACCTTCCCTAAAGAAAGGTTACTGACAGTACCAGTTGTTTCTGGACCCTTTCAATGGAAGCTATACTTCTCTGAGTAACAGAAATTGTATCATTGCCCACTGCCTTTGAAAAGGGCAAGAGACAATTTTCCAGTCTTCCAAAAGAATGGATAAAAATGTTAGACTCACCATGACTCTTTCTTATCAAAAGGGTTTGGGGGTAATAGCTTTATTAAGGAGAAAGACAAAGAGCTCTATTCCAACCTTGTGGTGTGCTGGGATTTTCTATCTTTATCTGATTGCAGCTACATGGGTATATGCAGATGTAAAACTTCATCAAGAGTACATTGAGATTACGGCACTCGGCACATTTCATGGCATGTAATTTTTAACTTCTTCATTAGGTATAAGAGTTCTATTCCATTGCCCCAAGCCACTTGGGGACACTGGGGTGTACCTAAAGATGCCAAATCAGAACTTGGCTCTACAGGAAGATGTTCCTGTTCATTTTGTATCAGCTGAGAGGTTTAGTACTTGCCTACTCGGTAATTTTCACAAAAGGGTAAGGGACTGATTCAAATCCATCCAGAGAGCACCAGAATAGGAGTAACAGATAACTCACACTTTACCCACATCATCCCTATTACTCATATTATAAGTTGTGAGAGTCTAATATCAGTTAAAGGACAGTTACTTTAGATACAAAGGACTCTGCAAAGTACCTGGATACCACCTTAAGGCACAAAACGTTCTTATAACGTCTGGATGGAAAATGCCCAAGGTTTAGGATTTATGATGAGGCCTTACCTGCTTGCAGGTACTCTGTCTGCAGAGTCGGAGGCAGGCCCTCTGGCAGCGGGTAGCCGTTTTTCCGGGCCACAATGAGATGAAACGCAGCACAGAACTCAGGCAGGGTCAGGGCTCCATCACAGTCAGCATCACTCAGTTCCCTAGATACAACATGTCACAAGTACCTAACACGGGGCTTAGAGGAAAAGTTACTCAGCCTCGTACATGCAAACACAACTCCCAAGGTCGCTGGGGGTGGCCCTGCAAAGTCCCCAAACTCCTATGAAATCTCAGGGGGCACTTGGGAGGACAAATGCTGATCAAGAGCGCTGGCACCAGTGGCCCTTTGTAAACAAGACTTTACACTCCTTGGGTTCTGCGGGAGGTCTGTTTTACAACACCGAGCACATGAGACAAGACACTAGAGCACGAAAAGGAAAATAAGGCCAGTTGGCTGAGAGTCGTTCGATAACCGGGCGGCATGAAGAGCTCCAGACCCAGTGCCCACAGTAGTCGAAGGAAGGGCTGACCTCGGCCTGTGTCGTTGTCCCAGACGTTATACACGTACCCGGGCCCACAAATAAGCACTTGGGTTTCCAGCTTTAAGGAAAAACCTTAAAGTTTTTAAGTCACATAAATGTTGTACCAAAAAATTTGCTTGAGAATTCCCTCCTGGGAAAATACAAGTAAGTTCAATAAACACTGGTTAAATTAGGTTTTCAGATAAAACTAGCAACTTGGGAAGGCTGGAAGCAGATAAGACAGCAAGGCAGAAAGGAAGAGCCTTGAAAAGGCTTATCTTTGCTTCAGTCATTGTTTCCCACTGAAAGGCACAGACCTATTTACTCAGCCCAAAACAAACCCATTTGCCAAAGTAAGACACCATAAGCTCAACTAGTCTCGTAGAGGTACAGAGATGCCATATTTGTGCTGGGACAAGTAAAGAGATAGGATATAAACCTGCGCTGGCAAGGTGTCACTATTCCAAAGAAGTACAGAAGGTAAGCTCCCTAACTTTCCTTTGGACCATTCACAGCCTCCTCCCCTCAAATATTTGGAATGAGCCAGCCCTGAAGGAGCAGCCCCCCACGCCCCCGCCCCGGGTGAGAAGTCAGGGAACTGTTTCAAACGCTGGGTGGAGAGAATACTGTTCAGCTTTTGCAGATATGTCTCAACAAAAAGATAGGAGGCCTCATGCCAATAATGTTAAAACTGGGAATTCTGCCAAAAACACAGTGTATTCTTTTCAAAATGATAATTTCTTTTTTTCCCCTAGCTTTAAAATCTAATATAAGGCTTGTCGTAAAAAAGAAAAATTATGCTAGAATGTACCGCTGAAGAACCTAAATCCAGCTCAGGATCCCAGATACATTGGCATGCACAAATGTTATTGCAATAGTTTTCCAATAAAACGCACAAAACATGACAGGCAATTTTAAGTCCTACCACGATTTCTATAAATCCTCATGAAAAAAGTCTTACATAAATATTCCAGTGTTTTAATTATATATCTACAGCAGCACGGTCTCCCACCCAGGCTTGAGGAAGAAGAGCCCACACACAGCTGGGAGTTTAGACAGGCAGCAAGCGTTCTCATCCACACAAACTGGCCATCTGGACCGTCCCCACACGGCCCTTCTGGAGCCCGGCCGCGGCCTGCGTGGCAGCAAGGTACAGGGCACACCACAGCCGCACATCCGAATGGGGGCCCAGCTGATACACACCAGCCAAATTTGTGAAGCTCGGAGGCAGCTAGAAGAGCCAAATTTGACTTAATTCCAAAACATTTGTGGGCCTTCTGTTCACCTGGCCTCATAAGATATCATTAAGAATAGCTTTTCGAGATCCTCTGGTTACTTGCATCATATTGAACAGAAACATCCAGAAATACAATTCACGAGACGGAAATGCTCATGGGCCCACACAATTGTTTAGACAGGAAAGGCATCTAGAGGAGGATAATAATTGGGAAATTCATTTTTAAATAACAGCTAATAGTTACAATGCAGACTATGTGCCAGACACTGATCATTATGCTTCTCATACAAGTTAATCTTCACAGCAACAAAAATCTTAAGTTCCATTCACTCTCTAAGTCTGTTGAAAAAAAACATGCAAGGATAAAGAAGACGTGGTATATAAATGATGGAATATTACTCGGCAATCGAAAAGAATGAAATCTTGCCATTTGCAACAACGTGGATGGAATTAGAGTGTGTTATGCTAAGCGAAACTAGTCAGAGAAAGACAAATATCCTATGACTTCACTCATATGTGGAATTTAAGTTACAAAACAGATGCACATAAGGAAAAGGAAGCAAAAATAATATAAAAGCAGGGAGGGGGACAAAACAGAAGAGACTCTAAAATACAGAGAACTGAGGGTTGCTGGAAGGGTTCTGGATGGGGGGATGGGCTAAATGGGCAAGAGGCATTAGGGAGGGTACCTGTTGGGATGAGCAGTGGGTGTTATGCATAGGGGATGAATCACTGGGTTCTACTCCTGAAATTATTACTGCACTATGTGCTAACTAACTTGGATGTAAATTAAAATAAATAAATAAGTAAGTAAATAAATAGGAATGGGAATTGGTGAAACACCCCAAGGGAAGATGCTCTTTAAAATAAATTCATTTAGGGGCGCCTGGGTGGCTCAGTCGGTTGAGCATCCGACTTCGGCTCAGGTCACGATCTCGCAGTCCATGAGTTCAAGCCCCGCGTCGAGCTCTGGGCTGACAGCTCGGAGCCTGGAGCCTGGAGCCTGCTTCGGATTCTGTGTCTCCCTCTCTCTCTGCCCCTCCCCCGTTCATGCTCTGTCTCTCTCTGTCTCAAAAATAAATAAACGTTAAAAAAATTTTTTTTTTAATAAAATAAATTCATTTAAAAAATAAATACATAAAAATAAAAAATAAAAAACATTCAAAAGATAAGACTTTCCAAATGCAAAAGTAGAAACTAAGGGATGGGTATGTAATGACAGTATGATACTATATGGCATTAATTGTACTTACCATATGTAGGAGAGTTCTGGAATGGAAAGCTTTGATTTGGTGAAGAAGTTCTTGGCCACAGAACCTGCCAAGAAAGCCACTGTTTAAATAAATCATTAATTACTCATCTAGAGCAGCTTTTATAGTTACATGTAAATGAATCACCATTGTTTCATTCAGCAATTCCTACCATATAACAACAAACATAACACTTATTCATCAAAGCAACTATAAATCATATGACTAAAAACAACATATTAACAGCTTTTAAAAGAACATATAAATTAGGGGCGCCCTGGTCGCTCAGTTTGTTAAGTGTCCGGCTCTCGATTTCAGCTCAGGTCAGAATCTCACAGTTCATGAGATGGAGCCCTGTGTCGGTCTCTGCACTGACAGCGCAAAGCCTGCTTGGGATACTTCCTCTCTCTCTTTCTCTCCTCTCCTCTCCTCTCTCTCCCCCCTCCACCCTCCCTCTCAAAATAAATAAACTTAAAAAAAATAAAACAGAGCAAAAAGAAGAAAATTAACACCATTAATCTCATCACACAAAGATAAAACACATTTTGGTAAAGACTTTGGTGAGATTTAAGATCTCTTGGTGGCTCTTTGAGAAACTTCCAGGAACCTCTTGCTACTTTCTTTATTCATCACAAATTTACCAGTATCAGTTGAAATCGGGTAATTCCATTTTACATGTTACACTGCTCCAGGTCCCAACTGCACTTAATGTTAGACGCATCCTTATTGAGACAGAAATTTTTATGGCTAGACCCACCCTTATTGAGACAGAAATTTTTATGGTTTCAGCTCTCAGACCAGTTTCAAAATTCAAAGGCCTCAATTCTAACACAAAGAACAGTTAAATCAAAGCCTCAAGCTCTAAGCCGATAAAGTCAAAAGTCCTTGGCAATCTCAAGGCTTCTAATTGGCCTTAAAACAATGGATTATAATGTATCCTAAAGCAGACTTATTTTCCTTTGATAGATTATTATGGATCAAAGGCAAAGTGCCCTACTAACCAATGAGCTTTCTCCCCAAAAGCATCCTGGAAATAATGCTGACATAGGATTGTTGGCCATCGACGTAGCCACCTTGTGTCAAACATTTGCAAGAAATGTCTTGAAAGCCTATTTACCAGCTATTTTATAGATATAAAGACATTCTCCCCTCAACTCAGTCTTCTTTTTCCCCCTTAATATCCTTTCTTCAAATCACACTAGGTCCAAACCCAAACAAGAGACTTGGCCTGGTCTTCAGACAGTACAGAGGGTGTTCTGCCATGGTGTGCCGAAGAGATTAGGTAGGGCCCACCGGGAAGCTGACAGCTAACAAGTTCAGTTGTACCCTGGCTGCCGCCTGCCAGAGGAGGAAACTGATGAGAGCCCAGGTGCTCCCTTCTTTTGGTGCTAAGAGAAGTTCCATCAGTGAACCAGAACCCTCACCCCAGCCCCACTCCCAGCCAACTTAGAAACCCCAAGCCAGCTTCCTTTCCTTGCCCTTTCCAGCCATTTTCAGACCTGCTGTGAAGCCTGATATGGCGCAAAAGAGAGAGAGGTGAGTCTTTAAAAAGCTGTCAGCAACCAAACATCAAAATGTGGATTCAGACTTTTTACTGCAAGGAGTCTCTAAGCCCAGTTAAAACACACACACACACACACACACACACACACACACACACACACACACAGCTATATATAGCATTGATATATCAGTGATAAAATGTTAACATACTGAATAGATATAGACCTTTAAAAAATAAAGACCAATAACACAATGTAAAAACAGGTAGAGCTATGACAGTTCACAGAAATAGAATCTAATTGGACATTTTTTTTTAAAGTAAACTCTACCCCAAGATGGGGCTTGAACTCATGGCCCCAAGATCAAGTCACACACTCTACCAACTAAGCCAGCCAAGCATCCCAATTGACTCTTAACCATATTTTTAAAAATTCAATATTCTTCATAAGAGTTCTATAAATTTGAACCAAACACAGGATTTCTTGTCTATCAAATGGAGGGAAAACACAAAAGTAGGTAAACATGTTGTGATAACAAGACTGTGGGAAAACGAGCATCTTTTACGATGCTGGTGCAATGACAACATGGCACAAGCCTAATGAAGGAGTGTTTTCCAATGTCTAGTAAAATCACACTACCCAAAGATACACTGACAAAAATAACAAAAATGAAGAAAGACATGCGCAGAGGGCTATTCACAATGGAAATATGTATCATAGCAAAAGACTACAAATAATCCCAAAAGAGGACCAGTTAAATAAATGATTGCATATCACACAATCTAATAGTACACGACTATAAAAGGGGATGGGAAGTATCTCTACATGCAACTATGGAATAATCAGCAGGACATAGGGTTAAGTGGAACAAGCAAGGTGGAGAGAAGTACAAATACTATGCTATCATTTATCTAACAAAAGATGAGAGATAAGAATATACACATACACATACATATATGAATTTGCTTTTACTCTTAAAAACAGATAAACCATTAAAAAGGGAGCAGGAAAGGAAGAGAGGGGATAGGAACAGAAGCTAGACTTTGTTCATCATTTTTGTAGATTCAAATTCAGAACTGTGTAAAAATTTTATGTAAGTATAAAACTAAATTTCAAAAAGCACAATCCCTAAAAACTGAAATCAAAACAATTAAAACTGGGGGCATCTGGGTGGCTCAGTTGGTTAAGCATCCAACTTCAGCTCAGGTCATGATCTCATGGCTCCTGAGTTCGAGCCCCACGTCGGGATCTGTGCTGACAGCTCAGAGCCTGGAGCCT